AGAGAGCAGGACTACTTTAACATGGATGGTCACACAATGTCACTTGATGCCGTCCCCATCTGGCCACAGATCATGATCTGAGGTGGTGGTGGTGGTCGCTGGTTCCGGGGTCCTGATGGGAGGTTTTGGGGGGTTAATGCCGAAGGTTTTGTTTCGGCTACCCCTTGGCTGAAAAACAGGAAAAATTGGCGGGCCCCTGGGCAAGAGTGAGTGAAACGAGTCTAAAAAATATTTTAGGACTCGTAATCTTCCATGCTCACAGGCTTCGAAGCTGTTCTTGTTGGTTTCCTGGATACCTGCCGTACGCCCCATTTCTGAGTTATAAGATCGCTGAAGAGCCATGTGCAATGGCTCGGAATCTCTATGCTCTTCTCCTTCCACTCTTGGTATGTTCCAGCTCTCGAGTAATTCCAGAGTGCTCACACTGTGTGGGGTAGGCTTGCCTTCACGTGGATGCTGATCATCGCAGGGTCGGTGGCAGGATTTCCCATTTCAACTTCAAATTCTGGTGCGGAGGGGGTTCATGCCGGAAATGGTGCACTGTACGTATACCTCCAGGGTTTTTCTGGCCGAGGTCTGTAGTTGATTCACACTATACAGATCTCTGCTGAGCCAACGTGCGGACTTCGACGAAGCAGAAGCGGCCGGCGAGCTCCTGAAGGCGGCAGCACCCTACATAGGAGTCGCGGCCACGCTCATCCTCGTCGGCATTCTCGTCCTCTACGTCGTCCTCCGGCACTTGCATCGGCGTAAAGCCGCCAGGAGAGCAGAAGAGAAACGGGAGGATAAAGATGGCAATGATCCTAGCAATGATCATCTGCCCGAAGCTGAGCGTCCCCCATGGGCAGTTTAATTTTTCATGTCCATATATTTGGTGTCCATTTTCTGGTGAAAACGAAAACGAAAGAAGAAAAGCCATTACCCAACGCGTACCTCCTCTTTCGCGGGCGTATACGACGCGAACTCGCTTTGCTCCTAGGCTTCGGACTATTCTCCCGCTCCTTTTGCGTCACCGCGTCACCGGGCGCGCTATTCTCTGCCTGTGCATCATCACTCTGGTCCCGAACCCATCGTGAGGCCCCTCCAGGTCCAGGTCCAACTCCAGACTCTATCGCCTCGCGGCGCGCCTTCATCCGCTTCGCACACTCCGCCTCCCTCCCTTCTCTCGGCCGCCGCTCCCCGCGTATCTCCTGCGTCCACGCGCCAACCACCGCATCCGGCGCGGTCTTGTGCCACTGCAGGTAGCATTGGAGCTCCGCGGCGGAGAATTTGCCTTGCTGAGCCGCTTGCGGGAGAGAGTACGGCCTGCGCTCAAGCGGCGCGGGGCGACGGCAGGAGCCTCGGCGCAATGGCATGCGGCGCGGTGAGAGACGACCTGTGATTTGTTCGTCGTGAGCCTGGCGACACTTGCGCAGTGGCGAAGGCCATAATGCCGGGCGGCGCTTCACCGGATTCGTAGGGCATCAAGCCACGGCAGATGGCTCGCTTGATTGGATGCTAGTGACACGGGAGGTGAAAGAGTAGGTGGTGGGGAAGGCCGACACCTCGATGTGGGTGAGGCATGGGCTCGAGGCCGAGAATATGCGACCGGAATGAGACATGGATATGTCCGGATCTTAGATGGTATCGGTGGACGCGGCGACGCAGAAGAAAGCACCTGTCGGTTCACAAAGAAGCTTTGCCGTCGTCGTCAAATCCGATTGTCGTCGTCAAAGATGATTCAGCTTCAGAAAGGCAGGCTAAGCCGAGTCGGGATGGAAAGGTTCCTGTCAATCGTCGTGTTGCCAGAGTTCCATTGGCTGACCCTTCTCGTTGCTCTTATCGAAGGGACCCAGCGGGCCAGCGACTGACAGCACTCTGAACAACGGCCGGAGGAGCCTGATTCACTAGCCTTCCGGCCGTGGGGAGGTGTGTCGATGCGTGCGACGACCAACAAGGAAGACCTGTCGTCGTCCGCTGATCGATATGGGAGTAAGAGAAGGAGGCCGAGGTTTGTGGCTGTTTGCGGTTTGATCCAATCCTTGAATCAGTTGATTTCGGCTTTCACCGAGCAATGTTCAGGTTCAGATATTTAGCGCCCTGCTGGCTCTGCAAGCGCTTGAAGATACATAGAAAATTGTACTTATACTAAAATGTCCCAGTCATATCTAAGTCAGTAAGAGTCTGTAGTGAACATTAGAGAACAGTACGGAATATGTCGAAACTTTCTGGTTCGCGCAACTCCAACAGACACATTGAACACATCCGGAGATCTTCAACAGAGATTTGGTTCCGATCCCAAAGTCGTGATCAACTTCCGCGCCGTCTAGTCTCTGGCATGAACCATAAACCTCTCCCCCGGCTGTACGGGTGCACGCTGTTTTCATGATACAGACCCAAGAACCGGGCAGCGCGCTGTGATGCAGAGCGTTGTGATTTCTCATCATTATCATTGACTATGGATGCGGATGTACAGATCGCGATTTTCATCTTCTACGAACTGTTGGAATCACTGCCTTCGGGCATCTCGGGCAATCCGCCAGTAGATTCCTGTGCTGTGTAGAACACTGTGGAACATTGTGGAACTATTTATTACATTGTGGAATACTGTAGAATAGTGTAGAGTATTCTTATGACTCACCCAAGGCTGTTCACTGAGTAGTATTTAAGCAGTTGTATTCCACACTATGAATCTAACTTATTTTGATCACACCTACTATCTACGTGAAGTCGGACGTCTTACCGCGTCCAAACCCCTACTCAATCTATCTGCGCTAACACGAACCCGTCTAAATGATTTTCTGTCCCAGCCCCACGAGGGTGACAGAGCCGGTGTTCATGACAAGGCCAGCACTCGTGCACATCCTGGACTGTAATATCCCGTTCACTGGGCTGTTTCATCACCAAGTCCGACTCAGAGGAATGCAATACAAAGTGCTCACAAAATCCAGGCGGAACCTCAAAGCCTTATTGCATGCGAACACATTGGACAGTTTTCTTACCGTCCTAATTTGGTTCCTAAGAATCTTGAACAACTTCTTGATGCATCCCGAAGGCCATGTCACCGTGTCGCCTCTTGGTATGTCGAGGGTGAATGTTCCATGAACGCAATGACTGCAGGCGCAACTCCGTCGCCGAACGTCTGTGACATCGCCCATGCTCTTGTGCCCCACCGACTAATGCGCCATCGTTTTGCTTGTGAATTACGCACAAAGGGCAGTCATGTTGTGCCGAACCATAAATCGTACTCACGATTGGGAGTGAATCCGACCCCTTGCAGTTTGGACAATGATTTTCCACACTCACAGGCTTCGATAACTGTTCCTGTCGGTTTCCTTTGCCTGCACACCCGCCTCATTTCTCTATAAGATCACGGAAGAGCCAGGTCGAATGGTTCAGAATCCATATGCACCTTTGGTACGCTCCAGCTCTCGGGTGATCTGGCTCAGCGTGCTCACGCTGCGTCTGGCAGGCCTGTCTTCACATGAATACTGATCATCGCAGCGTCGGTGGCAGCATTTCGGTTTCCTATTTCAACTTCAAATTCTGACGCGGCGGAGCCTCGTGCAGAAATAGTGCTCTGTACGTATACATACCTCCAGGGTTTTCTGACCAAGGCCTGTAGTTAATCCACACTTTACACAGATTTCTCCTGGGACAACGTGCAAACCTCGAGGAAGGGGAGGCGGCCACCCACCTCCTGAAGGTGGTAGCACCCACGGCCGTGCTCATCTTCCTCGGCCTTATCGTCCTCTGCATCGTCCTCCTCTATATCGGTAAGAAAGGCGCCGAGATAGCAGAAGAGAAAGAGCAGGCTAAAGAAAACAATGATCCCAACAACGATCATCCGCTCGCAACGGCGCGTCTCCTCGGAACCGCTTGATTTTTATCATGTCCATATATTCGGTCTTTCCTTCAAAATCAAAAAGAAAACATAGAAGACATAAACCCAACACGCCCTTCCTCCCGCCCCCACGACGAGAATTTGCTCACCATCTCACTCTTCCGGCTTTGGACTATCCTCTCCTGTGTGCGCCCCTGCATGAGCGTCTCTCTCGTAGCGGGTGTCCCGCACCTGCATAGAATCTCCTGCATCCCCACTACCTTCTGCAGGAGTTGCTCGTTCGAATCGAGCCTGGGCCATGCATGATGTCGGCTTCGAATTCTTTTCTTGTCTGCAATGTCGCAGGGGTAGTTCGGAAAAGATATCTACTAGACGAGCGTAATGAGTACGATGGAAAGGACCGGTGGCGGGTGGTCCGCACCTGTACACAATGTCTGAAAAATCCACATGTTATGCAGCATATTGCTCGTTCGAATCGAGCCCAGGCCATAATTTGTTCGTTCCGTGCGGTTTTTCTTTTGTCCAGCCGCATTTTGAATCTCAAGAGGTTAGTACGTAGGATGGAAGGTCCGGTGGCGGGTGGTTCGCGTACCCGCACACAATTCTTGGAGGTAGTTCTGCTGTAGATCGGTGTCTGTCGATGGAAACTGTCTTGTCTATCGACGAGCTCGCTCTCATAGACAGGCTGGATTTGAGCCTAGTTCTGCTGCAGAAGACGCTCGTTCGATTTGAGCCCGGCCATAGTTGTGTTTAATTACATATTTTAGTTCGCGATCCCGCAGAGGCGACACGAACCTGATGAGGTTAGTGAATACAAAGAGGAAGGCCCGGTAGCGGATGGCCCGCGCCTGCATACAATTATGTGTCCTAAGTCTACAGATTCAGCAGGAGCTGCTCGTTCGACTCGAGCCCGGGTCTTACATCCCGTTTGCGCAAGTTTTCTTTTTTTTGTTCAGCAGCATTTGAAATGTTCCCTCAAGAGGTTAGTAGGTAAGATGGAAATGCCCGGTGGCGGATGGTCCGCCCTGCACCCAATTTCCGGAACTTCTACATGTTCAGCAGGAATCGCTCGTTCGAATCGAGCCCGGGCCATAGTTTGTTGGTTTCGTTCGACATTTTAGTTCGCGATCCCGCAGAGGTGACACGAACCTGATGAGGGTAGTAGATCGGATAGGAAGGCCCGGTAGCGGATGGTCCGCACCTGTGCGCAATCAGAAATGATGGAATAGATTCTGCAGGAGAGCTCGTTCGAACCGAGCCTGGGCCCATATGGGTACGTCCTCGTTTTTTTCCCTTCCTTTTTGTTTGTAAGAGAAGAAGGGGCATCTGGATTGGCCGTGAGGTATCGAGTTGGGCAGAGAGGCATACGATAAGGTGGACAGGACAAGTCTGCCACTCGGAGGAATTTAAGGGGAGAATCGGGGTCAGAGAAATGAATAAGTTACAGACTAAGAGCTTTTGCCACAGCATGCATGTCTTGCTGTATTAAACAAGTTGTGGCTCAGGTATAACGGTGGTTTCCACTGGCGGGCGCTCGTTGCCTGGGCACTTGGTGTCTTCCCCACCATGCCCAGGTTTGTCATGACCATGCAAGATGCGAAAGCTTACAATGGCTGGATCCGCATCTTCAATATCGCATTCTTTGTCGGTCAGTCTAGTTGGTCTTGTTCAAGTTTGGTTTACACTAATTATCTCTCACTCTGTTGCAGGTCTGGCCATATCATTCATTGCGTTCTGGATGATCTGCAATATGTCTCCGCCACTGGGTGTCGGCGTGGGGACTAATTACCACGACAAGTCACGCAGTTTGTTTGCCGGGCCTCCGATTCGGACGGAGCGCCTTGACAAGGGGCCCTCAGGGTTGGACGTAGGTAGGCAGAAGTTAGCGAGGGTCGGTTAACGATTGACATGGGTGAGGGAGCGAGTAGTCGCAAGTCTGTGACTACCCTGAGTACGGCAGTAGTCTCGGACTCCGAGGCCGAGGACACTGGACAGTGACTCGGAGTCTGGTTGGAATTCAAGTAAAATGTGGGGAAAGAATGGTGGTGACGAAAGGACCTGCCTTAGAATATCCGGGTCTGAAGTAAGATGAAAGAGAACTGCGACAGAAATGACGTTTTGGAGCAACGTTTGGCCGTCGACGGTGGCGGTAAGGGCTAGACCCCAGCACCACGCGCCGCCAACCCCAACAGTCGGACTCACCCGGTAGGCAACAAACGCCAGGGCCGCACAGAAATACCATGGAGGCAGCCTGCTCTGCCTCGCCCTAACACACCGCTCTACACAACCTACCACCACTCTCTGCATCCACCTCCGGGGTGCAGCACACCTACTGTGCGCAGGAGGGACTTTGCAGACGCACTACTACTAGCACAGAAGCCAAAGGACGGCTCGATGGCGGCGGGGGACAGCGCCAAGGCGGACCAGATTGTATTCCACATCTACACCAAGCTCTTCCACGTCCTCCATGCTGCCCGCGCCTCCGAGCAGGGCCCGCCCTCGGGCAAGACCGATAAGTGGGTCAGTACCTTCCTCCTCCGCTACTTATCACAAAGCCTTTATTGACTTGAGAGGTGTAGTTCAACCTGGAGACGCCGCTGGCCGCGTCGGCGACGACGCCGACGGGCGAGCTGGACGCCTACCGCGCGCTGTCTGCCTTGCCCGCGCCGCGGCCGCTCGCGGTGCAGGTCCTGCTCGCGGTCCCGCCGCCCGGGGGCGGGACGGCGCTCCTGCACGCCTCGAGCCGCACGCGCGTTGAGATGTCCCCGCGCTTCATCCTCCTCGAGGATTGGGTCCTCGCCTTCGCGTCATTTGTTGAAAGTCGAGAGGTAAAGCTCTCTAGAATATCTAAATAACACTTGGTGAGATTGACTAAGGGAGGCGAAACGGCAGCGTGAAGGAGTGCTGGGCATGATTAGCTCCATGGAGGAGAGCGCCTTTTGCTCTGGCACGGATCGCGCTCCACGAATTTCGCAGGTATGTCTCGCAGTTCCCGGCTGTTTCTCTCGGTTTCATGACCATGTCCAGGTATCTTAACACATGGGCTCGCGTTACGCCGCTGTATATCCCGCAGCTTACATACAGCTGATGAAGGCAGATGCATATAGCGCTCTTCGAGTGGCTACATCTTTGGACGGGGCGTGTATTTTGCAGATGTGAGTTCTTTCCCATAGTATCATTATCCTTGTTCTTGTTGACCCTTCATACTTTAGATGGTTTCAAAGGTACTCTACGTCGTTAATGACATGATCGTCGCGAATCTGAACAGATCAACCTAGTCCTTCAATTATTGCCATTCCTAGTCCGCGCTTCGGTTCTTCCTCTCCCATCGCCACACTCAGGGAATATTTGCAGCTTGAGTGACGGCACAGGCCTCATGTTATTGTGCGAAGTTGCCGCGGCACCTTTTTTCGAGCGGTAAGACGCTGTTCGTGCACATTCGAGTACTACCCGAATTCAGCGTTGAGCATTGAAAATCTAGAACTCCCGCGCCGACGTCGATTGTGCGAAGGCTCAGCAACGGTAGCTCGCCGCCACCCGACTGCACCTCCTGACACCATTTTTCAAGATCGACAAAGGGCCTCGGACGTAGTGCGCCTGCCTCGTGGACGGACGCCGGCGCAGCCCTTCGAAATGAGGATCTCCGTGGCTGCATGATGCCAGCGGGGCCGATCCGCTTGCGCATCTCCCAGCCAGCGTTGAATCACAATGAGGGAGTTTTATGCCCGGACCATGAACGTACAGCGGCGTACATCGGCGTACGCTGATGTATATCGGATCCCATCGGATCTGTGCCAAATCCACTGATGAGATACCGTACAATAGTGTCAATCAGCGATCGCCACTGATGTCACCGTTTTGTGCAGCGTATTTCGCTGTATTCCATTGTCTCTGCATCTATCCACCGAAAACCACTGTATTCCGGCGGCTTATCTTCAATAAATTCAAATTCTGCAGCGGGTGAATACGGAGAGAGTTCTGAGAGAGGGTTGAAGATTTGGAATAGCCATCATTCAGCACTACGTGTGAAGTATGACGGGCGGTTTCAAATGGAAAAACACCTCTACATATCTTAATATCATCTGTTGGATTCTGGTGGATTCCAGTGGAATATGGTGTATTATACACCGTATTCCACTGGAAACCAAAAAATCTGCCATACATTTTTGGAGGAATTCGGTGAATACCAGCGTATTCCGACGGGTGAGGTGCCAGGATACAGTGAATTTAATACTCGTTGCCTCCACTGTTATCCACCGGAATGTGCAGCACACTCGGTGAATTCCGGCGGTATTCGGTGTATTTTGCAATGGAGAAAAGAGGGATTTTATTATTCATCAATATACTACAGTGCACTCCGGCGTACAGGTTTTTTGGTCAGTGGAATCCGGCGTACGGCGGAAGTCGGTGGTTGATCCAGGCGGATCCGGTGAATCGGACCGGCGTTGCCGGTCCGCGCATAATACACCAATGAGGTGAGTTCTCGAGTTTGCCGGTAGCTCTACTGTTGATCATGTTCTCTGATAGTACATCGTCTATAATCTCAACCAAATTAGGTTGAGGTATGTTGTGATGGTAAAGGTCAAAGTCAAGGCGACGGTGTATAGAGCCTTCGTTCAATATCTAACCTGATTTTCGGTGTGCGATCCTCCGTGTCCCTTCGCGCCTTCCATGGCCGGGCACATCTATTCTTGTCTGTTGAGGAACAGATTTTACCCTAGAACAATCGCAGTCTGGGATAGTTTATGTTGCGGTGCCAAGCCATTCCCAGTGCTTTGACGGATTAGATCCCAGGGCAGTGAGACTGACATATTGCAGCGATGGGACTATGATGAATGTAACTCGCTGCACAGCGGAAAGTGCTTTGAATGCCGGATGCCATCTAGATCTGTCCCACCCATAATAATAGGTTGAAGGAGGCACAGGAGATAAGACCCGCAAACACCTGATCTGTCCCCTCAAATGCATCGCTTCAAGTTTCGTCCTGGTTACCAAGCCAGACTGAGTACAGGCCACCAAATTTCCTTGTCCAACAGCCGAGCGTCGGCTCAGGGAAACTGAGTGAGGAAGGGGAATGATCCTGCACTATTCGAATACTTCTCAGAACCGGACTAAATAATAGAACGAAGAGGAGCACTCACCAGCAATGGAGAGGCTTTCAGGGATGATGCACAAGAAAGATTTTTAGCACCGCAATAAAGAACGCGAAAGAGGTTTTTGACCTTTTGGACCGGTCGAGATACTGTTGCCCTTGGTGTCGACCAACGTGGGGCCCAAAAACGAGAACGGAATGAGCGAAGATAGCAACTCCAACGGTAAGAACGAGGGTTCTCAAGTTGAGTTGCTCCACCAGAAAGGTCCCAGTCCAGGGGATGGGGTCGGTGGTAGTCTCCATGACTCAGTTAGAGAGACGACCGCACGTTCTCCTCCTTGAGATCTTTTTTTTTGTTGCTCCGTATGATTATCGGCCGTGTGAACAATAAAATACGAATGCTGAGGGGCAATAAACGTGTACTTGTTCTTGTTCAAGTTTCTAGCCAACGCCGCTCTACCACCTCAAAGCCGAGTCTATCCGATGCTGAACACGTTTGTTCGATCATCTCAGTTGGTATTATTGTGCATGCGAGTTTGTTCCTCGATAGCATGAAGTCGGTGAATGCCACAGTCTGAACATTGTATCGACAAATCATTTCGAAATAGAGTCTACGGATGATTCGTTCAGGATCTGACCCGAAACTTAGACGTTGTGAACAAGATCTGAATAAGCTATAACCAATTGAACCAAAAAAAAACAGTCTAAAATCAGAGGGGAGCCATCAAGACATATTTCTACACATTTATTTCTTCCATATGGATTACCCTACATAACTAGCTAGGTTCACGCAAGTCTGTTAGGAACTGAGGAAGTTACAGGTAATTCTTCGAAAACATCCCAAACGGGAATTTCTTTTCGACCGCACCATCAGTTCTGACAATGGCTATAATTATTCCAGCTTGAACAAAAAAGCTTCCAATTTGAGTGCGAAATGAGTAAGTTTGAAAGGTAAAACTCAAATTTCAAACTCCGCGCTCAGCCTAATTGACGATCCCGAGAAGTACTCTACTATTTCGACCGAGCGTTAAGGCGCCATGTTACGGAGGCCTCTGAACTGAACACTTCGGCCACTGGTGACGGTGACACAAAGATTTTGGAGGCTAAAAAGGCCGAAAAATCGCAAAATCTTTCGCTCCGGCAGTTGCCGGATTATGAAATTTCTCATGATTGCC